TTTCCTCCATTTGGTGATAGATGACATGATATCACATCATAGCAAATAATCACAGATGATGAGTGATGCCTCTTCAGGACATGAGTCTATGCTGTTGCAATAATGAGGATAAAATCTTGCACACGCTATTACTGTTAGGACAGTTGCTGAGGCAGAAAATTGTTGCTATTGGGTCAAAAGACAGCAGGGAATTTATAGATTGTGTTTTTATGATATTTTGATTATTAGTTCAGATCAGGTTCAGATGAAGTTGATTAAAAACAAAATGAATTAGAAACCAATGGAACACAATCTCAAAGTAATTTTGGTGTAGGTTCTTTGTTTAAGTGGAAACAATACCAATTTCAACAGTTACTTTCTAAAAATTAACCTCCCTTCATGTCCTCTCACCTGTCCTCACATGCTCTCTGTTCACAGCATTGCCCCCCCCCCCCCCCCATTCTCTCCCTCTCCCTCTCCCTCTCCCTCTCCTCTCCCTCTCCCTCTCCCTCTCCCTCTCCCTCTCCCCTCTCCCCTCCCTCTCCCTCTCCCTCTCCCTCTCCCTCTCCCTCTCCCTCTCTCTCTCTTTTTGTCCAATTCTAATGATGAAATTAAAACTGTTCTCTCTTTTTCAGTATATCTAGTTTGTGCATTTTTCTAAAAAATGTTAACATTTTTCCTTTTCCTTGTCAAGTTTGGCTCCCATGATGCAGTCCTCTTCAGTATGGATGATGCTCCACCGACCAGACTTCAGGATGAAGGCGATGCATTCTTTGAGCTGTCTGTGAATGAAGTGAAAAACCTCTATTGTGAACAGCAACGGATTCTGTAAGTGCCATTCACTTTTTTTTTTTTTTTATGAAATATTGGAAGACACCTTTAGTTCTTTCTTATTAGGTGACAGATTTTAAGAAATGTATTTGTTATTGTTTTATCCTTACTATCCTTTTATCCTTTACTATTTCAGGAAAGAACTAAATGAAACACCCTTAATGACACAGCAAATGAGAGAAATGGAAGAAAGTGCAAAAGTTCTATCTGCACTGAACCAGTACCCAGTGACTCAGTTGCGGATATATTTTCCTGACAATTATGTGATTCAGGCATCGTTTAAGCCCATTGATACTATTTCAAGTGTACAAGATTTTGTCCGACCACTGCTTGCAAACCCAGCCTCAGAGTTCAGTCTTTGTATGTATGGCTGGAAAGGCATTTTTCTCTGTTCAATATTTAGATTTCATTTATGTTGAGTGATTGTTGAACATAAGGAAAAAATCAGTGTTAGATCCTTTATTGAATATACACAATACATTTGATATCACTGCCTTTGATAAGTTCAAAGAATATATAATAGCACTGATTCTTTTATACATTAATTTATTAAACAACTTATATTCCAGGGTTGAGACATCCACATCGAATGTTGGCCACAGACCTAACACTTGTTGCTGCAGACTGTGTCCCAAATGCAAGGATCTATTTTGAGGCAGTTGGGTCAGGTCCTCCATATCTCAATGATGAAACTCTCTCCAAAAAGTCTTCATTTAGTGGTGCTGCCCATAATGTTGTTAAGAGAAAGTGAGTACTTTAATAAGGCATATTTATGTTCATCTTTTCAGTAAAGAAATCTTTTCTTGGATGATTATATGTTTATACCGGTATTCTTTGATTTTCAATTTGTTTCTTTGTCTCATTTCAGGCAGCACACACAGAATAGAGCATTTTTAGGAGGTGGCCACTCCCTAACAGCAGAGCCAAGCCAAGCAGCTTCAACAAGCCGGGAAGCTGGGGAATGCAGTCAGAGCAAGAGAACTAATGCCAATTTCAGAGCAACAGGAGCTACACCTAAGGTTCCAAAGTGGTTTAAGACAGGAAAATGATGATGCAAACTCCAGCATAGGTCTGATTCAATGAAGTCAACACTATAGAGGCCATCACTTTTTACCAACGAATGCAATAATTGTTGGTCACATACGGGGAAAGATAGAAAGAGTATTTACCAGGAAGTTTTATTTCTACTGTAAATCTATTTAGTATTTTTTCTGTAAATGAGTGAAAAAAATGGCACTTGGCAGCTTTTTTTATTTTAGGATGATATTACATTACTTGTGAAGAATTTCACCTATTAAATTACCTGTTGTATTTGATCTGTCAAGATAAATCTCCAAGGGAGTGTAAGATATACATATTACGTTTTTTTCATTTCTGATTGTTTTGATGTGCAGTGTTTTTTCCCCAACTTGAGAACTTTTGATATGCTTTTATTGTGAGATTAAGGTATCAGCAATATAAACAAGGTATACTAGATTCACCTTCATTTTGTGAATGATGTGATCATTGTACTGCTGCGCCCCAAACATTCAGCAAAGAAAATCAATGTTTTTGAGCCTTGCTTACTGTTTATAAGATAAAGGAATTATACTGATGATTAAACTTTATGCCAACATGAAAAAGCTAGGTTGTATATCACTGTTGAATAATGTGAAACTTGCCAGCCAAATATATGTTATTTGTATACAAACTCATTGTTTCATTTACTATGCCAAATACTTTGTTCTATGATATTCAAGCAAATATCAAACATTTTCCAAACATTAATATTGATTGTAAAATAAGATTACTGCCTTTTATTGCAAATTTTGTCCAAAAGTTTACTTGGTATTTACTGCTTGATGCATAAGAAAAATAAAAAAAAACAATGTGCCTAGCAAAAGCATGTTCCTCTTTTGATATTAATCTGTCTGTGACAAATGGGTTTTAAGAAAGACATTTTAATAATTTATGAGTGGTGAACAGATTTTTCATCAGTGTAGATAACCTGATGATTATAAAATAAAAGTGGAAACAAAAAACAAATAAAAGACAGAGACAATGAAAAAATGTGTTTTGCTTCTTACTTTGATTTACAAATTGTAAATGTTTTGGCATAAAGGGGAGGGAATTATTTTGATATTTGATAATGTGATCATCTTATGACTGCTGTTATTATCATCGTGTTATTATGTTCAGTATATTATATATTATTTCTCTGTTATTTAAAGTACTTCATTTAATTTCTTTTTCACTAATTATATGATTAATTATTACTAATGCTTATACAATAATTGACTGGTTATTTTACTATAGTGATTAGATTAAATTAGTATTTATAATGTGCCTAATGGTAGATATTATTATAATTAATTTCTCTTCATTTCTGGAAACGTGTAATAAATGAATAAATATATATGTTGATTAATTTGGAAAAGGGAGTATCTAGATTTGATTATTGTTTTTAGCAACAAGAAATAAAGTTATAATCTTTTTGACTGCATGGTCTATAAATGCAGATTTATCTTCATATCTATATAGATTTATTGATAGGTAGATAGATAAGGACGAACATAAGTGGACATGTGATATATATGCTACTATTCGCTGTTGCTGTTGCTTTTGAGCACTTCAAACACCGATAAGGTATTTCCACTTGTCTTTTGTGTATTTTCATTATAACCTGCCTCAGTCATGGCTCCAGTACAAGAATAGATGAATAATGATCATAACGCACCTATAAAAATATACTGACTGAGCAAAGACCTTGTGGAAGAGAAGACAGTAATGGGAATAAAGATGTCGCTGAAACAGTCAACTGAGAAAATAATTAAGTTTTGTGGTCGTGATGAAGTCGAAGAAAAGCCCGGTAGAGGAGAGTCAAGAGATCCTGAGGAAGGGTAGCAATAAGGTATATCAGCCAGTTTGTTAAAATTGTGCAAAGCCCGGTGCAGTGAATGGTTATATATATGAGCATGCATATTTACAGAAATTGATGCATATCTGTCTGCCTGCCTGATAGATATTTATATCTATCTATCCGGTAGATATGCATGTCTAGATCGATCGGTGTACATTCATTTCTGTATATATGATTATTCATCGGGTCGGGCGTCGCACAGTTTTAATAATCTGGCCGTATATAAGCAAGGTCTATTATAAGTACTTATTTAGACCTTGCGTATAAGTACCCAGGGCAAGACGGCGGCGAGGGCGAGAGGGAGAGGCAGGGAGGGGGGTAACGGGGAGGTATTAATTAAGCGACGATGGTTCGCGTATGTCAATCCACGGTCGCTATTTCCTCTTCTTTGCCCCTTTTTTCTTATCTCTGCCGTTTTTATCTGATGTTTACGGTTTTCTATATCTTTCCGTAATAGACTGGTAAAGCTCAGTGGAGTAGGATCAACATTTTGCCTTCCATAAGTTATTTTTCGGTATGATGATATTGATTATTCGAAGCAAATTGCATCTTTCCATTAAAACACTATTTTGGTATACCTTGACTGTCTATAATTGAGGATGGCCCGCGTCATACAGGAAGCATTTACGACATCGTTCGCCATTTATAATAACCGTCAATAATTGCCTGTAGAAGAGATTATTTTACATACAAAAGATTACATCAATTTAAAATCCTAATACGGCGTGGAATGTTGCATTGTCATGGATGCAGGAACACGTGACTCACAGAAATATAATTTTTTAAACTATTAACATGCATATACACACATACACACACAACGCACACACACACACACACTCACCACACGCACACGCACACACGCACGCACGCACACACACACACACACACACACACACACACACACACACACACACCACACACACACACACACACACACACCACACACACACACACACACACACACACACACACACACACACACACACACACACACACACACACACACAAACACACATATATATATATATATATATAATATATATATATATAATAATATATATATATATATATATATATATATATATATATATATATATATATATATATATATATCATCCACACATTACACAATATATATATATATATATATAATATATATACTATATATATATATAAAATATTTTTTATTAATATATATATCAACGGTGTGTACTGTGTGTGTGTACATGTGTGTGTGTGTGTGTGTGGTGTGTGTTGTGTGTGTGTGTGTGTGTGTGTGTGTGTGTGTGTGTGTGTTGTGTGCACATATATACACTTATATATATATATATATATATATATATATATATATAATATATATATATATATATATATATATATATATTATATATATATATATACATTCATTTGTGCAATAATATATATCATCAGCAAACCTCACAAAAAATCCATTGATTTTACCACTGAATAAATATGGCAAACGTGTTAGTATTTCTGACATATTTTTTCCAACAGTAGAGTAAGATTATTTTTTTATTTGTCAGATCCATCATTCCATAAAAAAAATATTTGTCATGTTTCCCCTTTGGTTTACATCGCTTTCAAACTTTTTTTTTTCTTAAGCTCCTGTCATTTTGATGTTTCACCCTTATTAGTTCGACGACTTTAGTTCTCTGTTCAGAGAGAAAACACCGATAAATAGCATAAATTGACGCGGAATGATCCATTTTCATTTTTAATTTTTGCAACTGTTTATTATATTTCTATTATCTAGTATGAGTTTTGAGCTTGCATATGAAATTCTACTACGGATGGATGCTTTATTCTAAACCATTATCAAGAAAAACAACAAAGTTATAGCATACAGTAAAAAGAAGTCAGATGCAGTAGCCTCCACGAGAGTAAGACACATTACAGAATCGGATACAATCAATTTTGAAATGTGTGCCACTGCCCCCACCGAACCGCTAACAAAAGCAAACTATTTGAGGAATCTGGACAAGTGGGCGGAGAGTTTTCAATAAAACACGAATCTCTGAATAATTAACTTTATGACCTTTCCGCGGGCAAAGTGAGGGCGAAGTGACTGGTCTTCAGATTCTAGACGAAAACCCGTATTTCATTAAAGTCTTTTATTTTTATTGAATCGCCGTCACCTGGAAGTCCAGACGACGAGTTCACCCGAAAACCAGTAAATTTCTTCTTAAACCCTCTTATTTCTGTATTTGTGAGTGAAAATGAAAGATAATATATGCACAATACAAGCGTTATAATTGACATATTTCGATTATATATCTTCAGAATGACACGTAATGTAGAGGAAAATTCAATCGCCATAAACCTAATCGTTCTCACCATTACCTTTTAAATCAACATTCGACACAATCAGCTCTATTCTGGGAAAAAAACAAAAAATATTTTTTTTATCAATATCGCCCGCGCGCAATAGGAAAAAATGGATATAACTTACCTGAAGAAAAGAAATCACATGCTGCTAGTGTTGATACGGAGAACGAAACAGCGGACCGATTTCTGTCGTTAAGCAGAAACTCGAAATAACCGATGAGTCATTTCAGTTTGGGCTCAGGTAATTAATCAGCTGTTGGCACTCTTTAAATCAGGCATTAATGGCGGGTGCGAGGGAAAAAATATACAGGAGCTTATGTGAAAATGCATTCAATTTTAAGTATGCAAGTATAAACATGATTATTAGTTACTGATATGTAACCCTATTGTCTATTTTATACAGTTCTACAATAGGGGAAGCAATAAAGGGAAATGTGCTCCAAACTACAAATACAAAGCACAAAAGACTAAGAACAAAACAGCAAAAAAAAAAATGGTGGCTGATTCCCTCACAGTATGACTATTATTTCGCACTTTTAATCTACCGTGATATATAACCAAAAAGGCACACACACACAAACAAAGGGACACATCGAGACTTCCTCCAATTCTAAAATCAGGAAAAAAATAATTACGCTCGTTCTTCCTTCGCCTCAGTGACTCAACACAGACCTTAAAAAACAAAAACAAAAAGGCGAATGATTTTCAAACCTCTTCCAGAAAAAGAGGGAAAAATCGGGGTCAGAAGGAGAGCTCCCCCGGAGGTGCGAATAAGCAAAACAAGCGAGCATCACCTCCCTAACGGTGAGATGGAGGGAGAGACTTGGCTAGCGGTACCCCATCATAAAAGCCGCGGTGGTCGCCTCCTACGCTCTCCTTCGCTACGGTATATGAGGCGTTGCCCTTCCCTCCGAACGCCCTGCCGCGGCCCGCCCTCCGCCGCCGCCGTCAGGGTCTGTTCTCGGCGGCGGCGGCGGGAACAAGCGGGAACAAGAATTCCCATTAACGCCAGCACGCGATCAGGCGAGACTCCTTTGCTTTGCTTTCCTGCTAAAAAAGAGAGAAAAAAGTGCAGCTGTAGGGGTTAAAAGAGAGTAATGATTTGTATTACCAAATCAGGGGTCCAGGTACTCAGTTTTTTAGACAAGAGACCGAGAATAAGAGAGAGAAAGATGTATATATATATTATATATATATATATATATATATTATATATATATATATATATATATATATATATATATATATATATATATAGAGAGAGAGAGAGAGAGAGAGAGAGAGAGAGAGAGAGAGAAGAGAGAGAAGAAAGAGAGAGATAAAGAGAGAGAGAGAGAGAGAGAGAAGAGAGAGAGAAGAGAGAGAGAGAGAGAGAGAGAGAGAGAGAGAGAGAGGAGAGAGAGAGAGAGAGAGAGAGAGAGAGAGAGAGAGAGAGAGAGAGA